AGAGAATTCTATAAACCATAACAGCCATCACATCTACGGCAGGTCAGACACCACGACTGTTATTTCATCCAACCTTCAGTGAAACCCTGTGAGGGAAGCATTAATGTCCCCCTTTCTACAGGGGAGATGCGTGGGGCTCGGGAACTGTCCACAGTCTCATCCGACTTGTGTGTGCAGGGCCACACGCCAGCCTCAGGTCGATGTGATTCGGGAGCAGGAGCACAAGAGCTCTGCTTTTCCCTCGCAGACTCTCGCCATGTCACGGTGTTGTGGTAGGTGAGCTCTCTGGGGTCCGGCACTCTCGCTGTGTCTGTCACTCAGTAAATGTTGCTGGTGCAAGTAAAGAATGAAGAGAAGGGATGTCGAGGAAGCTAATGCAGACATAGCTACTTAATAAAAAGTGTCACCTGGGGTCAAACCAAGAGTTAAACAGACCAGTGTTCTGGCTCTTTTCCGGAGATAGAGATGGAATCATAACACGTAAACCTGGAAAGGTCATTTAAGGTCATTAAGGTCACTCTCGATTTGTAGGGCCCAGAGAGATGGAACAGATTCCCTAGGTCACACAGCTCAGCAAAACAGAATGGGGCTCCTAGACATCAAAACCCACTGCTTTTATACTTTCATTCTGCTGCCCCCTGAAGGAAAAAGTGGGAACGTTCTCTAGAAGCTACTCCAGTCCCTTAGAAACACATATGGCCTCAGCATCTGTGATTAGTTTTAATGTTCTTCTTTACCAGTTGACATTCCCAATGTTCTTAGAGATAACAGATATCCTGAATTGACAACTATCATGAAAAATCATGTAAAATTTGTGAATGTCTCTCTGTCTGAAAGTGTACCCTTATATCGAACACAAGTCAGCCTTGGGTACACTGTCCCTCTCTAAAATGTGGTAGAGATCAGAATTCAACACTATTTGATTTCAAAGATAAATTTCTCCTCATCCGATTCTTCCTTCAGTTGCTCCACATAAAATCCAAAGCTGTCTCTTAGGCTGCATCTTGCCCTTCTGTTTCTATCAAATGGTGTGTTGGTCGTAGGGCCAGCCTCCATAGCACCTCATTCTTTCTCCCAGAACATGATTATCTACTCAGCACATGCCATGTCATGCACATTTTTTAAGAAACATATTTTAGCTTCCAATGGCTGGCTATAAACAAAGAATCTCTCTTTTTCTTTCTAGAAATCTTTATTGAGCACTTTAAAGAACTTCCATAATCCCTAACTTCAGATTGCTCCTAGGAATTGTGGAAATGAAACACACAAAGCTTTTTGTCTGCCGTTTGAAATGTTCAATATGCAAATCTCAGAGTTTCCCCGTAAGGGCAGGTTTCTGCAGGTGGACTGGTGTGGAGGTACTAACTGCTCAGTTTATTATGCAGTGATTTACAGCCCTCTAGTGGGTCTTTAATGTAGCAATTAAAGGGAAGCTGAGGGCATTGAGGTATGGCTTTGTTCTTTTGTTTGTTCCTTCCCTCGTTCATTCATTCATTCACTCGTTCATTCATTCATTCATTCAATGTACAAATGCCAATTGAGTGTCTACTTATGTTCTGGGCATGTTTTGTTGATACTGCAGTGAACCAAATAAACAACAACAAAATCATATGCCTTAGTCACTTAAGACAAAGAAGATGGCGAGTAGAACAAATTTGGGGCAAAGATCAGGAGCTTGATTTTGAACATGTTAAGTTGGAGATACCCATTAGTTTCCCAACTAGTTTCTTTTCAAAATTTGTTGGTGCCTTTGGGAACATTGTAGGGCACTGGTGAGGAGCAAACACGGACATAGGGCAGATAATCTCTTTATTTGGGATTTCACCACGTTTGAATTAAAATGGACAACATGAAAAAGTCTGTGAAGACAGTGAATTAGACCTTGGGTGTGAGAGAGAAGTTCAAGCCTTGGCCCCATTCTCACGGAACTGCTCAGCTCTTAGTTTTCTGTTTAACTGTAATCTCAGTTTCTGGCTCGATTCTTTGTTTTCTTCATTCTGACCACAGTTTGTAATGATGTACACAAGTGTATGTACCTCCTTCACCTCCAGAACTGCATGTGAGTCCTCCTCACTGGGGTATCTCTATCACCCGGCAGGGTCTCAATTTATATTTGCTGAAGGATGAGTTGTGTTGTAATAAGTCAGATAAGATAGATATACATGAGAAGCTAGTGATATAGGCTAGTATCTGGCATATTCTAAATGAGTAAAAAGCACAGTTAATTCCTCTTTTAGGAGACCACAGTGGGTTGGAGGCAGTCAGGGAAATCTTCAGGGAAGAAACTGGGAGTGAGCTGAGTCTTAAAAAAAACGAATGGTGGAAAATGAAGGAAGGAGAGAGGAAGTGATGGGGGAAGGGATGTTTCTTGTAAAGGGTTCCTGAACGACCTCCATATGCTCCTCTGCCTCCAGGGTCTCTGCTCTAGTGGCTAGTGGTCTCTGCTACATTGTCCTGCCCCTGACTCGATTACCTGGGCGATCTCCATGGGAAGGACAGTGTTGCAGAGACCCGCCCACACCCGCTTTCCACCTGTCCACCCTCCCCTGTCTCTTCTTTAATGACCACCTAGCATATAGATGCCTATCATTATGCCTGGCACGTAGTAAGTGCTCAACAAATATAAATATTTTTTTCAATGAACATATGTGTCTAGAGGCCCCTCTCCATAATCTTGGGATGGATTTTCCCCAATATTCTCTGCCATCGGGCTGGGGCACTTGAAACATGAGCACTTCAGGGCTCACATCAAATCCTTGAATGATTATTAATAAGCTACTTTCTCATACTTTCATTTAACAAAGATTTGTTGCATGCCTCCGGGATTTATGTTGGCTGCAAGGAGCTTAGAGCTGAACTACCATGAGACCCATGTAAACAAATAATGATAAAGTAAGTGTTGACTTATGTACAAAGTGGTCTGTGAACACTGTAGATGGAGAAATTGCTCGTTTTAGCACGTTAGAAGAGGCTTCCTGGAAAACAGGAAAGAAAGCTGGCATTGAATATCGAAAGACAAGTTGTGTCCTCTAGACAGACATGGGATGGTGGAGTGGTTAAGGGAGTAGGTTGGACAGTATTCCAGGCAAATGGTATAACAGGTACAAAGGTGATCGTGGGTGGCGGTGGTAGTTGAGAAGGTATGCCAGGTTTGGGGAATTGGGGCAAAGCATGAGAGTAGAAGCGTGGCCAGAGAGAAGGTATAGGACTGGATTTGGGGCAGGCCAGCCAAAGAGCCCCATGGATGTCAATCTTTAAGAGTTACTAAAGTAAAAAATACAATGCCAATTAACTCAGCCACTTGTAGCTCCTTACATAACTTTTGAAACCTAAATTGGCCTTATTCCCTGAAGTAAGACAGTGTTCTTGAATGTTACTTTAAAAATTCTTCTGGCTGGCAATTCCAATTATGCTATATTCGGTGCATGTAATAAATTCCTTATTTTTAACATAAAGAGGTTTGTAATTCTTATTAATAGAAAAGCAAGTTCCTTTCAATTCCATGCTGAACAGATATTTAAAGAAAATTGACCTATTTATGCACTGCCAAATTATTAGCTTTCTGGTAATGGGCTCCATCCAGGGCTGACCCCCTCTCCAGGTAGAAATGGGACTGTTGCATCTGACTGGGTGAGCTGGGTGCCCAGAAGAGGCTATGTCTAATGAAGTATTGTCAATTAATTATGTGTTTGGCACCCCCAGATAACCTATTTGGTAGCTTTAACTAATAAAAGAAATTTTCATAGGAGTCTTTTTTAAAATGTTTTATTTTTATTTTTGAGAGAGAGGGAGAGAGAGAGTGTGAACGGAGAAGGGGCAGAGAGAGAGAGAGAGAGAGAGAGAGAGAAAGGGAGTTGTAGAATCCAAAGCAGGCTCCAGGCTGTCAGCACAGAACCTGACACTGGAGTTTAAACCCACAAACCCTGAGATCATGACCTGAGCCAAACTCAGATGCTTCACCCACTGAGCCGCCCATGGGCCCCTTTTGTAGGAGTCTTAAAGGTAAACTCAACTAGCTCTGCCTCAGAGCCACCATATTCTTCTGGGTATTTCAGGACTTCCATATTCTATATTGAGGTTTTGCACACATCCTGAGGTTTTACCACACACCCTGTGCTTGTTCAACAGGACTCTAAATTTGGTGTTCAAAAAGGTAGTCTCTCTAATGATGGATACACCCTAAAGTCATGTGTAAGCTTTAAATCATCTCTATGAGTATCCACAGTTTTTAAATTGATTCTTCTCTTCCCGACCGTCAGGCCTAAAAGAGATAATCTAACTTTTCTGTGCTTTCCTTTCCTCATGGGAAACAACACGCATTCCTGCATTATAGGTTTGTGTTGAGGCATAAACGAGACAACACACGCATAGTGGCTGGCACAGTCCCCAACCATAGCCTGCCCCGGTTCGCGCACCCTTCGGAGTGGTTGTGTACTTTTCATCTCGGTTCTCAGCTCCCACGAAGTCTTCCGTGTGACCCCGCCTAGGCTCGGGGTTCAGGAACCTAAGAGAAGGGCATGCGCACAGAAGAGTGGGTAGTGTGAGGGGTCAGAGTGCAAAGATCAGAAGGCATCTGGTGGCAGCAGCGTGCAAAGAAGTCCAAGAAGACGTCTCTGGACTTCGATTACTTGGGCGAGCTCCGCTGGAAGGACAGAGGCGCGGAGATCCGCCCACACCCGCTTTCCACCCCGGCCCGCCTTCGGTTTAGCTCCGCCCCTTTCTCCCTAGAAGGGGGATAGCGGCGGACGCGGACACCTAGGCGGACAACGGTTGCCTAGCGAAACGCTTTTCCCAAGATGCCTAGGTTGTTGTGTTCTTTTAGCCAATCAGAGAGGCGAAGCGACCTCACCGTGGGCCAATAGGCTGCCAGGCCGGGGCCCGCGTCGGTTAAACCGGGCTGGAGACTGAAGTGGCCAGATAGGTAGTGTGGCTAGGACAGGTCTCCGAGTCGGCGGAGAGATCTGCGGGAGACCAGGGGGAAACGTACGGGGGGCCCGGCCATGCCAAGTCGGGCGGAGGACTACGAGGTGCTGTACACCATTGGCGCGGGCTCCTACGGCCGCTGCCAGAAGATCCGGAGGAAGAGCGATGGCAAGGTGAGCGCGGGCAGCCTCCCTGTTTCCGCCCCTGCTGCGGTCTCACCCGCCCGCGGCGAGCGCCCTTGGCCCCCGGGTGGCGAGAGAGCGAGAGGCCTGGGGCTGTGGGTCTCCAGGGCGGGGTGCCTGGAAGAGGCCATCTCTTCCAGGTCTGTGTCCGTCCTGGCTCGCTCAAGGGCTGGGACACTGCGTGTTTTGAGATGTATCTATGTATCTCTACTTTTTTCTTTCTCTTCCCTGTCCCTCTTTCCTGCTTTGACTTGCCAAAGGCCTCCCTTTAGTGACAGGTGGCTGAGTCTTGAGTTCTGTTCAGAGAAGAGTATCCCTCTCGGACGTGGGAAAGAGGCAGGACCCCCAGAACCTGGAGCTTTTTGTCTTGCAGTCAGAACTCACTTAAAATATCCATTACTTGGATTATTGGATTGTTATTTTCCAGTGTGTGTAGGTAGACCTTATACAGGAGGAAACAATGGAGAGGAAACTGCCTGGCTGGTGACGGAAGGATCTTTACTAAGGGCTCTCACCCTGGAAAACTTTGACCGGTTGGACAGTGGGAATGGTCAGGGACTTTGCCTCTGCTCCAGCTTTGACCCAAGTACCTTTTGCTACCGTGCCACAAAGCAACTGAGGGTAGGGGGTTGGAGGAGGCCTAATGTGACTCCACCTCTCTCCCATGGCATCATTTACCCCTTGAAAACTAGGGGAAGTTTATGGAAATGAACTCGGGTTTCTTAAGTTCATTGAACTAAATTAGATGGTAATGACAGTTGTGATCTATTTAATAGAGAAGTAACTTAAAAAATTTTTTTTAATGTTTATTTATTATTGAGGGACAGAGACAATGCACTAGCTGGGGAGGGGCAGAGAATGAGGGAGACACAGAATCCGAAGCAGGCTCCAGGCTCTGAGCTGTCAGCACAGAGACCGATGCACAGCTCAAACTCATGAACCATGAGATCATGACCTGAGCCAAAGTCAGACACTTAACCGACTGAACCATCCAGGCGCCCCTGAGAGAAGTAACTTTTAAAAGTTTAAAATTTTGGAACGTTCATTCTTTGTCTTTGAGTATGTAATGAGTTCATTCATACCTTGGAAATTCTTACTTCAGATACTAGTTTGGAAAGAACTTGACTATGGCTCCATGACAGAAGCTGAGAAACAGATGCTTGTTTCTGAAGTGAATTTACTCCGTGAACTGAAACATCCGAACATTGTCCGTTACTATGATCGAATTATTGACCGAACCAACACCACACTGTACATTGTAATGGAATATTGCGAAGGAGGGGACCTGGCTAGCGTAATTACAAAGGGAACCAAAGAAAGGTAAATTCATCTTTTATTTATTTTTTTTTTTTAATTTTTTTTTCAACGTTTTTTATTTATTTTTGGGACAGAGAGAGACAGAGCATGAACGGGGGAGGGGCAGCGAGAGAGGGAGACACAGAATCGGAAACAGGCTCCAGGCTCTGAGCCATCAGCCCAGAGCCTGACGCGGGGCTTGAACTCCCGGACCGCGAGATCGTGACCTGGCTGAAGTCGGACGCTTAACCGACTGCGCCACCCAGGCGCCCCTAAATTCATCTTTCAAATGTAAGCTGAAAATGGGCCAAGTTTCATTTCTGTTAAGCATCCTAGTTTAGGATTGGGGATGAAGTAGTTAGTTATGTGGAAGACTGTTCTTGTATTTGTTCTGTGAGTCCACAGCACTTTAGAATCAACACCCATACCTTATCTTGAAAATAATTTATTTCCCTAGTTGTTGTACACTCTGAAAACTAGATACTTCACATTATCCCATCTTTTTAGTGTTCTTATTCAGAAGTCATATGCTGTGTAACTGCTTTGGTTTCAGACAATACTTAGATGAAGAATTTGTTCTTCGAGTGATGACTCAGTTGACGCTGGCCCTAAAGGAATGTCACAGACGAAGCGACAGTGGTCATACTGTGCTGCATCGGGATCTGAAACCAGCCAACGTTTTCCTGGATGGCAAGCAAAACGTTAAACTTGGAGACTTTGGGCTAGCTAGAATATTAAACCATGATACGAGTTTTGCAAAAACATTTGTTGGCACACCCTATTATATGTCTCCTGTAAGTATTTCAGAACTTAGATACTTTTTAAACATCCTAACGCTAAGCATTCAGTGGAGGGAAATTGAGGGTTTTGTTTATTTGTTTGCTTAGTAATATACAATAGTCAGGAATCAATACTGTTCGTTTGGAATTTATAGTTTTTCCAAATGGACCACCAGACTCTTAAACTCCTCCCTATCAACAATTAAAGTGAAGCTTTTATTGAATGGCTACCATGTGCCAAGTTCTGGGATTACGAAGATGTAATAGGTTTTGTCTCTGTTCTCAAAAGCAACATGGGCCCTGTATAACACCTCGGACTCATTTAGAGTGTTTGTTCAAGACGCAGAGCCCTGGGCCCCAAACCCAGATCCAGTGGATCCGGATCCATCTGGATCTCTGGGTGTCTGGACCAGTTCTTGCACTCTGCGCTTTTTTTTCCCTTCCACTTTTCATTTTGAACATTGCCTTTCAGTAGACTCTCTAGATGATTCTTGTGCATGGAGATTCAGGGCTTACTTCAGATAATGTGTTTTTACAGTGTTAGCTTCTTGTACTTGTGTTTTTGTTGTTGTTGTTGCCTTTTCCTACAGTGGAGCTGCAGCGGGCCCACTTTACTTCTCTGTTCTCTCTGTTGCTAGATATTTTGTTTCCAGAATTCCTTACCATTCTAAGGAGCACTGCTCTGCACACCTTTGAATGCATTATTCATTCTTCCTTTTTGGTTATTTCCTTGGCATGTAGCTCTCAGAAGGGTATGAACTAGGTCAAAGGGTATGAACTGTTTGTGACTCTAGATATTACCTGATGGCTGTTAAAAGCTTGAAGCAGTAAGTGCTATCACTAATGTGTTGTTTTTGACTAAGATTAGACATTGCCAGAACAGTGTCGTTTTCGCACTGGATCAGATTCTAAATAGAAAGCCTTTAACATAAAGGAAAATTACCTAAAAGTGGTTCTTGGAAAATTTGAAACCTGTGTAATTCTTTTGTTCCTTTTCCCTCCTGCCCTTGTAATTAGATCGGTTCAGCCTTCCCTAAGGCATTGATTGTCAGGAAGTGGTATCAGACTCACCTGTTGGAGTTTAGAACACCAAGAAGCTTCCTGAAGGTTTTGGTACTACTTCTGTGCCCATTGTTGACAATAAGAACTATGGTAGACTAATACTGTAAGTGTGGAAGAAAGGAAAATACTTAAAATAGGAAATGAGAATACTAGTTAATACTGTGATTTATACTGTGGACTAAGAGAAAAATACATACATGGATAATTCAATTAGCCATTTATGTCTATATCCATTTACATGTGCACCAGATGTATGTTTTGGTTATTCTGAAATTTTCTCTGGGTTTTTATTTTATTTTATTTTATTTTATTTTATTTTATTTTTTGCTCTGGTTCTTTCAAAATGGAGTTTCCACATTATGCATGCCTTGAGGGTAGAGGTCTCATAGTCACCTTTGAATTATCAGCACCTGATCTATTGTAACACAATAACATTTGTGAGTGAAATGAATGTGAAAGTGAAATGAATGTGAGTGAAATGAAGTGAGTGAATTATATGCGACAAAGTATATTAGGATAAGATCATTGCCTTTTTTCCATTATAAATTTGAAGATAAAATATAAAGTACCATCTTCATTACTGTGATATAAGATCTGACATAAACTGGATCTGTCTTTTGAATCTGATATTTTTGTACAGATATAAAATGTTTTCCTTTTTTTTCCTTTTTTCTTCTCCAGGGCAATATTACCAAATGTTAAGGTTCCATTTTTGTTTCAGGTTATTTTGTAAGTTTTAAAACAAAATAAACTTTTCACTCCTCCTACACTTTTACCCTTGTTTCCCCCTTTAGGAGCAGATGAATTGCATGTCCTACAATGAGAAATCGGACATCTGGTCGCTGGGTTGTTTGCTGTATGAATTGTGTGCATTAATGTAAGTGTGAGGAAAACAGCCTTCTGGTCTGAAGTTTATACTCACAAAGGTTTGTCCCCTTTCACTGGGTTCAGCTTTTTGAGCATCCATGCATATTTGAGCCTGAAAGAATCGTATGTTGGGTTAAAATTAACATAGATGGACGGGTTAAAAAAATTATTTGCAAATTAATAATATAACCCCTGAGGCTGGTTCATGCTTTTAACCTGGAAAGATGCTTCCCTTGCTAGACTGATACTTAGCTCAAGGGAGAGCACATCGTCCAGACTTGTGGAAGAAATGAAACAAAAATCCAGGGGAGAGGCCTGGGAATCTGGAGAACTAAAAAGAGCTCCATTCTTTGCCATTTTTTTTCTTTGCCTCCTCTTTTTTTCCTTCTAAACTATTCTGTAGAGCAGTGGTTCTCAGGAAACAATTTTGTCCTCCAGGGGACATTTGACAATATCTGGAGGCATTTTCGGGTGTCACAGCTAGGGAGAGCTCCGGCATCTCGTGAATAGAGGCCAGTACATACCACATGCACAGGACAGCCTCCCTAACAAACATCATGTGACCCTGAATGTCAGTAATGCCAAGGGTGGGCAGCTTAGCTAGGGATGACAATCCCAGAAGAAACATGAACACAAACTGCAGCTTAAACTGTGCTTTTGATTTGGCTCCTATTATATATTTTCATTTCTACATTAAAAAAAATTTTCCCCAGGCCTCCGTTTACAGCTTTCAACCAGAAAGAACTAGCTGGGAAGATTAGAGAAGGCAAATTCAGGCGAATTCCATATCGTTACTCTGATGAATTGAATGACATTATTACAAGGATGTTAAATTTAAAGGTAAAGAGTGTAAGATTACATTGTCTACTTCTATCTCTCAATTTCTCTCTTGAAGCAATGTGACTGAAGAAGCATTAGCTATAGTTCCTCAGCTAAATCTACTCTGTTAAGGGAAGTGAAAACATGTAAATTTGGCAAGTGGTGCGTCCTTGCCGGCCTACCTTCTGTGCTTTCTTCGTGCCTCCTCCCTCTCTCTGCCACACTAACAGATGGTGGCTAGCAAAACAGGATTGCAGAAAAGCTCCAAATCCTTGGTTCCCTTGCCTACCTCAACGCGGCAGGTGGTAAGGGAAGGGGCCACAAATCAAACTTCATTACCCAGCCTCTCGCTCCAGCCGAGAGATTAGAGACCAGAGATGGAGTGGGGGAGGGGAAATAAATAAAGAGATTGTGTGGAAAAGACCTGGTCCTGGGATGGGGAGGAAGATGTCCTAGGGTCAGGTTGATGTGAGAGTAGGAGTTAAATGCTGTGGAATTACAAAGAAGGAAAATGGTGAAATAATAGGACTGAAGGTGGGCAAGGGAGGGTCTTGCTTAAAGTAGTTTTGAGATACAAGGGCAGCACTTGCCCTAAAGCAGCCCTGGCATGCCACCAAGCACCAGCTTAGGGATTGAAAGGTTAAGGGGGAACAAAGGTTAGTTAACGTCTGCATTACCTTGTGGACCCAGAACCTCATGGGTTAAAGCCACTAGTAAACTTCACCTTTCTAGGTGTTTAAGACCCATCCATAAAGCCCTTTCTTTTGTCTTAGAAATGTATGCTGTTTTTAACGTACCTGCTCTTTTCAGATGAGTATTCTGTTATGAAATCTGACTGCAACACTGAACATTGTTCCCCCCAGGATTACCATCGACCTTCTGTTGAAGAAATTCTTGAGAATCCTTTGATAGCAGACTTAGTTGCAGAAGAGCAAAGAAGAAATCCTGAGAGAAGAGGGCAGCGGTTGGAACCGGAGAAGGTACAGGATTCCAGCCCTGTCTCGGGAGAGCTGAAACTAAAGGAAATACAGTTACAGGAGCGGGAGCGAGCCCTCAAAGCACGAGAAGAAAGGCTGGAGCGTAAGTCTGAATGGGGGCGAAGCAAGGGAGCGCCACAGAGGGCTGTTCTGATGTGTGTGAGATCTCTCTGAACAGAGTATTTGATACGTGGATGTTCTATCAGAGCATTCTGATAAATCCCGAAACACCGAAATACGTATTGGAAAATAGTAAATGAAGCTTGCCAGCATTTCCCTGTTGAGCCTCTTTCTTTCAGATCGAGTGCTCTTATAGTGTCGGTCACTGACTGTGATGACCCTGACGCAGTAGCCATTATATGTTACTGTGGAGCTACTTTTTCTTTCTCTTCTTTAATATATTTATACCCTACACTGTTTCCATCGGAAAAGAGGGTTTAAGCATTTGCTGCCTTCCATAATAAAAACCATCGCTTCTATCTTCTGATATGGCTGGCCCAGCACAGCCCAGATGTAAAACTCTATTGCGTGTGGGACTAGATATGTTTGGGCAATTCATTAAAGCATGTGGGTAAAGATGTTCTAGGTCTGTAAGTCTTAGTCTTGAGTAGTAACTGATTAGGTACTAATTAGTTTTTGATGCCGAAAGTCTGTCTACTTCACCAAAGTAAGAGCTGCTACCCAGGATGTAGATTAAGCAAAGTAGCAACAGCAGCGAGGCTCTTCATGTTAATGTCAAGGGCCAGGAGATGGAGTCATGACCGTCTCCCGTCACCCTCACGGCTCACTTGATTTTGCTTCTGCGGCTTTATGCACACGCAGCCGAGAGATAGCATTCTATTTAAATGAACGTACAAGGCATCCCATACATGCATTCATGTTTTTACTTCCTGATGATAATTGTTTAGTGCTGTGAGCTCTGCTTTCAGCACTGTGAGGAGTATAACCTGCGCTTACCCAGAAACCTTTTTTTGATGCTTTTGTCAAAAGAATTTGTAAAACAAAAACTTTCATTAAAACCTTTCCCAATGTTTTGTGGTTTCATAGAGCAACTGAAGTCTGAACTTTCTGAATTCTGGGCCATGAATTAAAAAAATAGCCTTCGTTACTGATCTAAAGAAGTACCTCCCGAGTTGTGGTTTATTTCCGCTTCTATTTGGGTGCTCTCATTGACCCAGAAGAAGGAGGGTTTGTTCTGTGAGGCTAGGCAATGCCTGGAAAGTGGACTATTGCCTGCTTTCAGTGCAGAGCAGAGATGGCTTTCGTTGTTTATTTTCCCAAATGAGTTCCTCTCAGACAACATGACCAAAAGTTGATGCTGACCTTGTATTTGTGCTTAAACCAGTCCTTACGAGAAAACCTAAGACAACACACAACATACTAAAGTGCTGAATCAAAACCTAGCAATAGGTCGACCAGGGTTTATGGTACGGAACCTTTTGCACTGCTGGTCAGGCGTGCTAGGCTGCGTGATGAGGAAAAGTGGTAGGATTACCAGATGTGAACCGTCTTAAACCCATAGCCACTTGTTAATATCTTTCTTGTTCCATTGCCTTTTTAAAGAGAAGGAACGTGAGCTTTGTGTCCGTGAGAGACTGGCAGAGGACAAGCTGGCTAGGGCAGAGAGTCTGTTGAAGAATTACAGCCTGCTGAAGGAGCAGAAGTTGCTGTGTCTGGCGGGGGGTCCAGGTATGAGAATTCACTCCGCAAACAGAAGCTGCCACCACAGATGAAGAAATGGCACCGGTGTCGCTGCCGTGGGGCTTTGATAGCCCTTTTAATTTACGAAGTCTCGTATTTTAAGATGGAGTTCATTGAATATATGCATCTTAATAGAAATAATTTTGTTATAGCAACGATTTACTTAATGGGTTCATAGACTTGAGGCAATGAGCCATAATGATTTCATCTTCAATTTTATTTACCTCATGAAACTACATGTTTAGTTTTTTTCCTACTTAGGTTTTAAAGCTAGGACACTTAAAAAAAATGTTGTGCATTTCAGATTTTTCTTTATTATATTGCCAAAATTACTATACATTTCTCTTCATTTTCAAACAAAAATCCTAGCATTTTATTACTCTTGCCACATGAGCAGATAATATGTGCCACATCTTTCATAGAAAGTATGGCTTAGGGGCACCTGGGTGGCTCAGTTGGTTAAGCATTGACTCTTGATTTTGGCTCAGGTCATGATCTCATAGTTTGGGAGTTTGAGCCCCACGTCAGGCTCTGAACTGACAGCGTGGAGCCTGCTTGGGATCCTCTCTCCTCTCTCTCTCTCTCTCTCTCTGACCCCCCCCCCTTCTCCCCCATTTGTGCTCTCCTTCTTTCCCGCTCTCTCAAAATTAAAAAAAAAAAAAAAAAAAAAAAGTATAGCTTAAAAGGTGTGATAAACTAACTGTAGAATAGGCCATCACTTTTGGGTCTTTGCTAAGACCCCTGCAAATTGAAACATGTATTTGGGGCGCCTGGATGGCTTGGTTGGTTAAGCGTATAACTCTTGATTCTGGCTCAGGTCATGATCTCACAGTTTGTGAGATTGAGCCCCGTGTTGGGCTCTGCGCTGACAATGCAGAGCCTGCTTGGGATTCTCTCTCTCTGCCCCTCCTCCTCTCGCTCTTTGCCTAAAAATAAATAAATAAATAAATAAATGAACATTTAAAAAATTGAAACCTGTATTTGTGAAAATTCAGTTGGTTGATATCTACGTATGCCCTTTGTGTTTCCCTTGTTATTCAGAGTAGACGGTTTGTAGACAGTCAGCCTTCCCAGGGCTCTGCCTTCGTGGGCCCTGGCCTGTCGCTGTGCTCCAGTGAGAAGTGGTTGGTGGGTGTATCAGCGAGCCAGTCTAATGGGCCTTCTCCATTTCACAGAAACTCTACGTCTTATTTACCCTACTTTTAAAAAAAAAAAATTTTTTTTAATGTTTTTATTTATTTTTGAGACAGAGACAGAACATGAGCAGGGGAGGGGCAGACACAGAATCCGAAGCAGGCTCCAGGGTCTGAGCTGTCAGCACAGAGCCCGACGCGGGGCTCGAACTCACAGACCGTGAGATCATGACCTGAGCCGAAGTCGGACGCTTAACCGACTAGGCCACCCAGGCACCCCATACCCTACTCTTTAAGATTATGGAAAGTGCAAAGTATTAACCCTCTTTTCTCTAAATTTCTATGTGACATAAATTATTTTTTTAAAGTGTTTTGTTGGTTTTAAAAGTTGAGTATCTGAATTTTCCAGTGAAACTTAGGCAGAGTTCTTATGGCTCCCTCCTACCATGTAGGACAGAGTTTGTGAGGGCTATCATTTCCACCTGGAATAAATTGAGAGAGAATCTGGTTACTTCAGTGAGCACGATAGCATTTTGTAAATGGAACAGACAAAACTAAGTTAGTTTGATGGTTATAATAATATTATAGTGGTAAGTGATGGAAGTAAATGAAACAAGAATTATATAAAATTTAGGCTTTATCTCTTTTGAAATAACTTCTTTTTTCTCACTATTGCTACCTATTATTTCAGTATTTTTATGATATTTATTCCAGCTTTTCTCTTTATGCCCCCCCCCAAGACAAAGTAGGCTGAAATTGTAATCAATGTGGTAGAGTGAGGAGAAATGTTCCCCTGGGGGAGTTTCATGCATCAAACCTGTTGTCCAGAGTTATAGAAGGCCCTGCTGGGTCGTCTTCTCCAGGGAAGGACTTGATTTACATCTTGCCCTGAGAGTCTGAACAAAGGCAGAAGAGAGCTCAAGCAGGATGATGCATTTCAGTGCAGGATGTATAAATAGTCGGGATCCACCTTGTTGCACATCGTGGCGAATACTTACATTACAGTGAGCTTTAGGAATCAAGTGTCCCCTTGGGGCTAGGAGGTACTTTATGGCTTTGAGCACTGAAAGCACCAAAAGCACCGAGCCTATCAGAGTCATAAAATAAACAAAGCAGGAGGAAACGGTGCCCTGGGCACTCAGGATGGCTGGAAGTATCCTCTCCCCACCCTCGGGCTAGAAAATTCACGTGGAGGAAGATGTAATGCGTCAAACTCATCTCAGTAAGCAGCAGCCTCTCTTTAAAAGCTCTTAGTCTATTTAATGAAATGCTAACTTTGGGAAATACTAATTCTTTTTCTAAACACTTCTTTCTTATAGAACTATCCCATCAATAGGATTTACAGTGTAAATGGTTGGCTTATGAATGTACAGGTATTGGTGACAATAAGGGTGGATATCTTTCAAACAGTGGAGTTAAGTGTAAAAGCAATCAGGTTTGCTTTGCAGCAGGAACACTATGAAATAGGAGGTCCCAGGGGCGCCTGGGTGGCTTGGTAGGTTAAGTGTCCGACTTCGGCTCAGGTCATGATCTCACGGTCCGTGAGTTCGAGTCCCGCATCGGGCTCTGTGCTGACCGCTCAGAGCCTGGAGCCTGTTTCAGATTCTGTGTCTCCCTCTCTCTCTCTGACCCTCCCCCCGTTCATGCTCTGTCTCTCTCTGTCTCAAAAATAAATAAACGTTAAAAAAAAAAATTAAAAAAAAAAAAGAAATAGGAAGTCCCAGGACAACTGGAAGGCAGCATTTCTCTGTGCAGCCAGCTCCTACCCCAGGACCTTCCATTTGTTCCACCTAGAACATCTTCCTCCAGAGAGCCACCTGGCTTCTTCCTTGTCTCTGCTCAAAAGTCCCCTTACTCTGCAGCTTTGATCCCCCAGCACTTCTGTCTCCCTTTCCAGTGTTACTTTTCCCCCACATATCACCTCAGATACTCCTCACACGTGCTAGTTTACTTGTTTGTGGTCCGTCTCCCCCTACCAGAATGGGGCCTTTAGTCCACGATGGCCTGTACAGTGAGCTCAGTAAATATTTGAATGTATTTCCTTTAAACGAACACAAAGGAAAAATAATAAGATTCTGGAATTCAAAACTGCAAGTCGCCACTCCCAGATAGTTCTGTCAGTAGCCAATAGTGTAGCCACCTCACGCAAATTTTTCTTCATGTAAAAGCTACAATTCACATATTTATCTCTTCCATGCTGACTTTGCTCAGGTCCCTTTTGAAACAAGTTTCTGGTCGTTAAGCTGCTTTGAAACGAGTGTTCTTGAATGTTTAACCCAAACTATAGGTGCCATCTGTAAGAAAGACCTTCTGCTTCTTACTTTTCTGGAAGTTATGTGTTCTAGGTAGAATGGCACTTGTTTTCAAGGGTAGAAATAAATCACCTTGATTTCCGAAAGTTTTGGTTGTGGCCCATAATCCCCAATGCATTTAACCTTAAGAGTTGATTGTTAAGAGGATAAAACATGTTCCTTGGCACATTTCAGGATTATTTTTCAATGCTGTGGGTTAAAAGGTTGATTGATTTCTGCCAGCATCATGCCCCTCACCCCCTATCCCAGAGAAAATAACACAGGTCCCCAGATTTCAAATATGAACTGAATAAATATTTTGGGGAGCACCTATGTGGGTGGCTCAGTCGGTGAAGCAGCCAACTCTTGATGTCGGCTCAGGACACGATTCACGGTTCCTGAGTTTGAGCCCCATGTCAGGCTCTGCACTGACCGTGTGGAGCCTGCTTGGGATTCTCTCTCTCTGCCCCTCCCCACTCGTGCTGGTGCATTTTCTTTCTCTCTCTCCCTCAAAAATAAGTAAAACATCCAAAAAAGAGAAAAAGAGAATAAATGTATTTGAGAAATCGGCTAAGTAAGGAGAGGCTGAACTTACCCTTTTTTTTTTCTTTCTAAAGAACTTTTTGATCTTCCATCCTCGATAATTAAGAAAGTTCATTTCAGTGGGGAAAGTAAAGAGAATGTCAAGAGGAGTGAGAATTCTGAGAGTCTGCTCCCCTCCAAATCCAAGTGCAAAGACCTGAAGAAAAGGATTCATGCTGCTCAGCTCCGCGCTCAAGCGTTGTCAGATATTGAAAAAAATTACCAGCTGAAAAGCAGACAGATTCTGGGCATGCGCTAGCCTCTAGCCTCGCAGAGACACAGAGCTGTGTCCGTATTGAACATTGCCTGCCCTCGAAAGACTGATACTCAACTGCTGTAGCTTTACTCACCTGGTTCCGTGAGCCGTGCCATTTTGTACAGTGAGGCAGGCCTTGCTGGTTCTTCTGCAACCATTGTACAAAATGCCCACACCTTTCATTTCTCTTTCTTTTTTTTTTTTTTTTTTTTTTTTTTAAAGAACACTTCATAGCAAGAATGACATTTTCTTTGTGGGTTGGGCTTTTAATGCTGGGTGTGATTACTACTGGAACGGGAAGCGTTACATTCTAAATGTTGGGAGAAAATAACGTCAGGGACAAAAAAATACTTAGGGGTAGCTTTGAACTACTGAGTGTTGTGCTTGCGATAGTCGTGCCTAGATTCAAGGTTGTACATGTTCCTGAGCTTAGAACACCTAACTGGATACAGATCGGTCGCTACTGCTGGGACATCTCGCTTGTAAGTATCCCATTGGTCTGCAGTGCCAATCTGTCACCTTTGGTGAAGTTCTTCACGGTGATGTCTGAAGTCTTCCTTTTTATCCTATTTGAGAGTGTATGAGCTGGCTGTCATTCACCCACCTGTGACTCCCTAAATAAAAGAATTCTTTAGTTTTCCTATATTTATGTTTCTTGCATTTCTTGATCTCTTAGTTGAGGGAGTCTGTGTATTTATGATTCACAGGCATTGGCAGAAGAGGAGAGAACATCAGTCTCACCGGGTTTTGCTCTCTGATGGTCTTTTACTCCCCATTTCATCAGTCTGTCTAAGCCGGCAGTCCTTAAGGAGGGGTGATTCCGCTGCCCCCCCGCGGGGGACATTTGGCAGTGTTTGGAGACTGATCATTGGGGGGCGGGGACTGCCTGCATGTAATGGGACTACGATGCACAGGACAGTGCCCGTCACAAGATGTCAGTAGTGCGCGCTTGAGAAATCTGATCTAGGCTAAAACTTGTTGAAACATACCCCACCCTGGAAGGAGACTTATTTTAGTTTTGACGGATCTTTTTTTTTTTTTTTTTTAACGTGTCTGACTTCTAATATGAATTAGCAGTGTTTGCTGTGCCTGCCACATTTTGCATGTGATGTTTTCCTAGCGATGCTAATCTTTTCGGCTTAATGAAATAAGACCGAATTATGAAGGGTTAATAATACATGGGAAGAAACCGCTCCTGTATCGTTGGCTACTTTATTGCAGGTTTATCACACAGTTGATAATGCAGTGCCATCAAAGACAAATGCTATTATCGAAACAATCAGAAACTGATATCCATGACTTTGTGGTATCCCCACAGATCAATCCCAGCAGGACCACTTTGATAAACATGTTAAGTATAATTTGTAGGGCCCAGTGCGAAATAGAAATGTAGGGCTCTTTGTTCAAAAAGCAGGAAACAAGTACCATTAAAAGTACAGTAAAAGACTTGTCCTCTCTTCCAAGGTCTCTGTCTCTCTGTTTATTGTGTTATTTGCTACTTAATGTTTTAAGAAAAAATTTTAAACTATTGTGAATTTTCATACTCCTCTTTTATATTGTGCCATGGCAGTTTTAAATGCAAATAGCACATTCTGCATATGTGTGGAATCACTGACCTGTAATTTGTATTCTGTGGCTCATCCAGGAGGGTGCCCCAAGCTGAGCATAAGAGACACAGATCCCTGTCACTGGCATCTGGGGACCCCTGGCCGGTGCTTGCCAAGTTCCTTGTCCCTCCAGCCTCTGGACCTACCTACAGTCCAGCCAGGCATCTCCCCCTCAAGCCACTGCCCCAGCATACGGCAGACAGGTCACTCCCAAGGATCTTTGCACCTCCAAGCTGGGATTTTCTTTGTACCTGCATAAGAGTTCCTGGATCGCCCCTGTCAAGGCCTCCAGCCAGTTGCCCACCAGCCATGCCTTGGGGTGCCAGCCCAGGAGGAGAGAAAGGCATGGGGGGCAGCTGCTGCCATACCCTGCCCTGAGATGCCTCAGGGCACAGGCCCCCAATCCTGACCTTTTCCCTGCCCGTGTGCACACCCTTTCTGGGATCCGAGTGTGGCAGTGGTCATGGGGCACAGGCAGGAAGGGGAAGCCGGATGGGGCCTGGTGCACCAAGGGGTGGGGGAGCTGGAAGCGGGAGGCAGGACCTTGCATGAACTGAGGCTCTGAGCCCCCACATATGTGCTATTGTCCCATCAGACCCAACTTACAAAACATCCATTCAAAGACGCAGTTATTAAGCGCTGCAAGCACAGAGCTTCAAACCCCAGGTGCCGGGCCCTTCTGCAAACCGGGTCGTGCTACATGTGGGGCCTGTGTGTCTGCACTGGTCACACTCATGAAAACAGCCCTTTCTTCAGGAAACTCCTTTCCTACCTGAGGAAAGAAAAATCTTTCCATTTTGAAATCAGTGACTAGATTTCCCCTCCTCAGACTCCACCTTCATCTGCTTTCCTTCCTTCAGTCAGTAACTGTGGGGCACCTGCCATGAGCCGGCACTGTTTAAGGTGCTGGAGATACAGCAATGAAGAAATACTGAAGTCCTTGCCCTCGTGGAGATTCCTTTCAAGGAAAGGGGGAGGCTGTGGTAGGTTAGGGTTTAGGGGGAGCTGGAGGAGAAAAGGAAAGGTGAGGTTTGAGGGAGGTGGGGGGAGAAGGCAAGGACACCTGGGGGTGGGGGTGGAGAGGTGAGCACAAGAGGGAACTGCAATGGGACAGAACCTGAAAATAGGTGGACGCTCGGAAATGAAGCACAGATGTTTTAGCCGGCTGATGTGTCCCCGCTCCCTCTCTAAAGCTAATAAAACCTTGCTTCCTGTTCACCTCTACAGCTGGGAACATCTAGGGGTATTTGGGCGATGAAGGTAGATTAGACGGGGCATCTCTGGTGGCAGGGAGCGGGGAGTCCTCCCAAGTGATGTTTCTCCAGCATCTCTTTCTAAGACCCTTCCAAGACATTTTGCTGGACACCAATCCCATACTCACCATTACAGACTTTACATACTTAAGTGATAAATTTTACCAAGCCCAGCCTGCTCAACACGCTTTGGAAAAAAGGGTCATTGGATTGGAGGGAGATTAAGTAGCAGTTCTGAGATATAACCACGAGGTGGCGCCATGGTCCTGTTAGACCAGAAGGCCCAGCCTTTGCAATTGGTTGTTGCTGAGAGATTACCCGGCAGGCGCTGGTTAAATGTTTTATTCCTATCATTGCGTCCAGTCCTCACAACACCACATGAGAAATAGGCACCATGAGCGTCACACTTCACATGAGGAAACTGAAGCTCAGAGATCACAGAGGGGAAGAGCCACAGCTAGTTTCTGAACTTATGTTTTTGACTCCAAAGCTCATGCTCTTGACTATAATCCTCCACTGCCTGCCTGAGCAAGACAGCAAAAAGTTGGTTTTGTTCCCAAACCATCTAATTTCCCATGATGATGGGTGGATGGTCGTAATCCGTGGCTTTCTCCAAGTCATTTTCATGACCGAGGAAGGGGGGGAGTGGAGCTGGCCTGGTTAGGGTCCAGTGGGCTTCCAGATCTGTGCGCTTAGGACAGATGGGTGTTAGTGTTTGGGGAGGGAGGCTGAGATGTGGTTTTCAAGTGACCCCAGTAGGACCCCAGGCCAAATGGCTTTAGACGAGTTGCCTTACCCCCTTTCCCCAGCAACTTCCATTCTCACCTTATGGCTCTCCATTGCCTCAAAAACGCAGCCTAGATGCCCCAGTACACTTGCACTGCCCAGCTTCCTCTGCAGAACCACTGCATTCAGGACTGTCCTCCCCTGAGGTGTTTTATGTTTCCCCGTGACCCTCCTCCTTCCGGGACAAAGCTCATTCCTCTAGGCAAGCTGGTTCCCTCAAAGACTTGAGGTAAGTCTGCCCCCTGCAACGAACTGAGGGCGAATGTAAAAGGTGACACAAGGCAGCTGTTTAAACACGAATGAGGAGAACTTATGACACACGGCAGCTGTTTAAAAATGAATGAGGACCTAAGAGACTCTTAAAAACTGAGAACAAACTGAGGGTTGATG